TAATTACTGTACTCAGTGAAAAATTGTGAACATGGATCGTAGTCCAAAACTTAAGTTTAGACCATATACTTGATTAGGCTACAGCGAAGATGATAACATTCTAACCTTGGATGTTACTGCTGCCTCAAGTTCAAGAATCTTTTTATTTGCTACTGTAATTTTTTCAGACTGTTCTTCAGTTACAGACTGTAATTTCGTACATTGCTCTCCAGATATATGTAGCTGACCTTTGACCTCCTGTAATTTCTTGTAGAGGTCATCTGTTGCCTTGGTGTGTTCTTCATTCTGTGACTTTATTGATGATTCTAGCGTGTTGATTTTATCCTTTAGATGTTTCTGAAAGATAAGTTTGGGAGGGATAAAGATCCGACAGCAAACACAAAATTGTACGACAAACAGATCACATTATTACTTGATCACTAACCACTTTCTAAGTAACCTGTACATATATCAAGCATCATTTCTGAGTTTTGTAATTTCGGACCAACTATGACTTACTATTTCATAATCAATGGTCTCATTAACTCAATATCACTATTTCTATCTGACATAATTTAGATCATTCAGTATTTTCACCAAATAAGAAGTTTTAATTATAAATAAATTTCTCCAATATAAATCATTTAAAGGAAATTTCTTGTCCACATTTATACACTTTCAGAAACTGCAGTAATACATTTCTTTGTAATTAAATTAATTCTAATCATTTAAATGCTCTCGTGCTTTGTATTTTTTTGTATGCTTTGTACATTATCTACCTAAAAATCATGAACCTTTTACTACTAAGGGTTTAACATGGTCTTGTAACAAAAAGATCCCTGAGAAAGATTTCCTGTCAATGTTACATGTTAAGATGAACACTTACATATTGAATTCTTTTAAGCTGACTGACAGGAGTGATTAAATCTACCTAAATCTACTATAACATTGTGACAAGAGGAAATTACCTTTTCATCTTTGAGCTGATTGATTGCTGTTTCTACACCTTCACCAGCTTCTATCTACAACAACAGTAACAACAAATTAATACTCAAAGAATAATGCTAATGTTTTACTTTATACAAAGATATCGTCATCTTTTCTTTTGCTTGGATTTAAATCACATGGATGAATGGACATGGGTGAATGATGACAGATGTAATCACATAAAATTGTTTCATTATGAGACAAGAATCTTGCAGCATAAGTTCAAACCCCGCAAGAAACTTTTCACAAGTTGCTTAGTACAGCCTGGTAAAATGAACAGATCTAAAAATGTATCTATCAGCTTATAGCTTACTGTATCATCAAACTAAACTTTCGCTGGCTGATTGAACAATCTAGAATATCAAGTCTGAGGGTAACTGTTTACTGACAATAAGGTTCTGTTAAACAGTTACCCAAAAGCCTGATATTTCAATCTGTGCATGTCACCTGTGTTGGATTCTTTTTCTTGAATATATATTAAAATGTGAAAAAAAAATACAAAAACAAGCTTATGAATGTATTACTTTTTCCATTATTAAAATTTTATGTCATTCTTAGCACACAAGTACTTTTACACCAATGAGGTGCAAATTTACATTTTCCAACATTGGAGCAATATAAGAAAATCTAGTATTATTATCTCAGCCAAAGCTGGGGGGGAAGTCTGAAATTTTTAACTTTTACTACTACAGTAATTACTCCTGAGGAACCTCTTTTTTCCCCAAGAACTGACACTATCATAAAAGCTTTCACAAATGATCACTGAGAGTTTGTCAGTTTTAGAACTCTTGTAAAAGATAATCATAACCCAGACCTGCATATAAAATAACTAGTTGAAAATGTTCTATGCAGAGCTAGAACACAATCTTTGTACTGTTAAATAAATTAGAAGTTTGTCTCGAATAAATTTCAAAACGAGCCCAGGTGTTACTTGTAGAATTTTAAACCTGTTTACCAGAGATATACATGTACATGTATTACCTTTGCAATAAGATCAGTTCTCTCATTCCCTAGTTGCTGTATCTCATTCTGATAACTTGTTATCTTGTTCTCCAACTCATTCACTTTCTCATCTCTAAAAATAAATATGAGCCGCGTCATGACAAAACCAACATAATGGGTTTGCGACCAGCATGGATCCAGACCAGCCTGCGCATCCGCGCAGTCTGATCAAGATCCATGCTGTTCGCTTACAAACCCTATAACAAGTAGAGAAACTGATAGCGAACAGCATGGATCCTGATCAGACTGCGCGGATGCGCAGGCTGGTCTGGATCCATGCTGGTCGCAAACGCATTATGTTGGTTTTGTCGTGACACGGCTCATATTACTGTTTATCAATGATAGAATGCATATAAAGTCAAAATCTCTAATGTTGCATCATCACTTATTTCACGGTAATGATATATTTCCATGTGACCAGTGTTAACATTAGTCAAAATTGACATATTTTAGTCATACATCTTAACAACAAAGTTTTTGTGCAAAATATTCTAAAATCTGTTGATTTTTACTTAAAACAAAATATTTTAAACATTTCTGCAAAAGTCAGAATAGTCAGTTAGAATGTAAGCATATGTCTGAAACAATTATCATTTTCTAAATGTTCTTGTTTGTTGAAAAAATTAATTTTGAGTTACAAAGTAAACATAATATTAATATCTGAAATTGAGCAATAAACCATTCAGTTATTTTAACTGAAACATGAAAAAAACTAGAGTGCGACACCATTTACAGCGACTGTTTTCTAAATGGCCGACCTATGGTCTATGTCTGGCCCTTCATATCTGACTTTGAATAAATATGTTGTTGTTTCCTTGTGTCATACCACAGAAAATACCTAAATGTTACAGGTTATGAAAAATGTTTGAACTTAAATTCATTGACTGTTTTCCTTCTTGTTTTAAAGTGTTAAGTACTGTGAACTTAGAGGAGCCCAGTGTACTATGTATTAACCTGCTGAATTCAGGATCAGGAAACTTGATCAGACAATAAATGCTCATTATTCTTGGGACACAGAACAGACCAGACACTTTATTAAACTTATAAGTCAAACATCAACGACAGCAAAATAACTTTTATTTCCTTATCAAAATATACAGCAAGAACATAAAATGACTTTACCTTAATTTAATCTGCCTGCTTTCCTCTTCTAGTTTAGATGATAATTCTCTGACCATAACTTTACTGTCATCAGTCTCTTTACACTGTAACATGAAATTATCTCCCTTTCTTATATAAAACACTCACATAAAATTATCTCTCTTTCTTGCATGAAATTATCTCCCTTTCTTATATAAAACACATGAAATTATCTCCGTTCCTTATATAAAACACATGTAATTATCTCCCTTTCTTATATAAAGCACTCACATGAATTTATCTCCCTTTCTTATATAAAACACATGAAATTATCTCCCTTCCTTATATAAAACACATAAAACTATTTCCCTTTCATACAAGAATGTGTACATGAAATTATCTCCCTTATTTCTGTAAACGTGAAACACACATTCCCTTTTCTTCTCTTTAAAATTCAATAGAAGCAATATAATAATTGTAAAAGCACCAGAGGAAAGAATGACACTGTTTCACAGATCATTCACAGATACTGATAAAGCCCAATTTTAGTGACCCCAACCTATCAAAGTAACATTATTTTAATTACATTTTCTGCAATAAGGTATGCTGTTCATACAAACAATCCCACAGTGATCAACCCTTTGATACTTAGCTGTTTAAAATAGGAGCAGTTTTTTTGTATGCAAAAAAAAAAAAAAAAAGGCCACTACAACAGAGCAGCGGCCCTGTGGAAAAAAGCTTAATATAATACTGTACCTGTGTCTGATACTGTTCTTGTGTAGTTGCTAGTTGTTTATTTAAATCCTCCACCTCACATTGACTCTTCTTAAGCAGGGACTGAGTCTGAAAATAGTTTAAACATATTCATTTTAACCTGATGGAGAAAAGGGCTTAAAAATTTATTTGAGACACACAAGTGTATTTCTTGGATTTTATCAGTGTTGAAGCATCATGGTCATGATAATACCCAAGATCCCTAGGGTCGAGAGGCAAACACATTTACTTTCCGAACAGTTTGAAATTAACAGGTAAAAATTTGTTGAAACTAACACTGTCTTCTAATACAACTAAACGGAAAAAAATAAACAACAAAAGTCATTAAATCATTAAATAAATAATAAAATGATTAATTTTTCATTCTAAATTCTAAAGAATTTATTATTTGAAATTCACTTTGTTTAATCATGATACCTAAATTTGTCTTATTTCTTTTTTTCTTGATACATTAAATGACCCTGGCATTTTTTGGGGCTTAATAAAGGTGTGTGTAATCATTATGTTTGTCAGCTTTGTTGAAAAGTGCTACCTTTTCTAGATCTACAGTGATTTGATTGATATTTAATTCTTTGTTATGTAACTGTCCCTGATATTCTATCTTGGTCTCCATCTTCTCTTTCTCTCTGGCAGCCAACAATTTCTCCTTCTCTTCTACCGTACATTGTAACTGTAATAAATGTCGTCATAATAATACCTATATATTTTAATAATAATGATTTATGACTGGTTATATATGAAACCAGTATTGTGTTACTTTTGTTGTTAATTATCAAATATACAAAAAAATTAATCTGTAACTATCTAGTGTTCCAAGGAAAGGATTGAAAAGTTGCGATTCCTGAAACATGACACTTCGGCGCCAATAACAACCTGGTAGTCTTTATCCAGTAACATAGGAAGACGAAGTCAACAATGTAGGAATACAATACAAAAGTTGCATCCTAATCGCCAGCAAGGTCGTCTTTTCCACAAATGACCTTCAAAAGCTGAAGCATATATATTGCAAACAAAGAGCCATATGACCAATCAAAAATAACAAATCCTTTTATTTCAAGAAAAATCTAAATTACTTAATAAATTTACAGCAGACATGTATATGAATTATATAAATGTTACAATGACCCAATAAATATCATATTACAAATGTGCAGTATAATAAAATAAATCACAGTAACTTTAAAATACATATATAGCACAGTTATTCCATAATAACCATTATACAGCCCTTTTACACTGAATCAAATCTTTATCTGAATCAAAGTTCTGTTTACAAACCAATTATGGGGTGAGTTATAACTCCCCCAATAGTTTTTTTTAGCTCAATTGCAAAACTAGTTCTTGCAACTTATATATTAATCACTTTTGAGTCCCCTTCCTGGAGCCAGCCAGTACTGGTGCCATATAAGGAAACATGGATGTGACCCAAGTACAGCTTGATCCCTAGACTGAGAGGCAAAAACCTTAACTACTAGGCTAATAATACCCTGTAGTTTTGACAGTCAAGTAAATTATCAAGACTTTATTGATATGAACATGATGTCAACATGTGTGACTAAAGCTCACATTTTTCAGTTCAGCAGATATTTCAGCAGCATTTGTCTTCTGTTCCTCTAATTGTCTATTCAGCTGTGTAATATCAGTGTTTAATTTATCTATTGTTGTTGTAAGTTCTGTTATCTTTACGGACTTCTCCTGTAACTTCTGGTACACACTGTCACTCTTCTCCTGACCCTGTAAACAACAATAACAACATATAGAATAAACAACAATAACAACATATATAATAAACAACAATAACAAGATATATAATAAACAACAATAACATCATCTATAAACAACATCACCTACATACATCAACATCCCCTGTGAACAACAACCACATTTATACACAGCAACATCATCTCCTAACAACAACAAAGGAATTATCCTGATGAAGGTCATTGTTTGACCGAAACCAGTCCATAAATAAAATAGCTTAAACCCACTCCGGTGTTTTGATGTGTTTTCTACTTTATTTTCTTTTTTACTTCTAAGAACAACAAAAGTTTTAAAACATCAAGTTCAAATTTATGGAAAAGCAACATTATATTTATCCAAGAAAAACAGTGATAATGCGATGTTTAAAAGCAATTCTTGCTGTAATTTCTGAGAAACTTGTTAACATGAACCTTTTTGTGCAATGATGTCCAAGATTTTCACCTGTACCATGGAAACCAAATTATCAGCCTTTGCTAACAAAATAGAGCCAGGCCAGCCTGCCCATCCATGCAGTATGACATGCCTCTATACTGTTGGCTGACTTACTTTATATTATCATCTTGGTATCCCCATTATTGATAATGGACTGTTCCAAAATGGAAGTTGGTTCAGTCCATTAAAGAAATTCAGCAGGTTAAGGATCTCAATGTAGTCGGATATAGATTTTTACTACAGAAACTATGTAATTAAAATAGAGAGAAATAAAGAATCCCTAAAGAAAGTACAAAACGACAAAATTGAAAATGTTGAAGGCTGGGTTTGATTGAGTCTGATCATGGACAGTAATGGAAAGTGCAAGGTACCGTCCATAACCCCCAGGCACCTGCTTAAGCAGAAGTCAACATTGAAAAACGAAAAAGATGAAATTTTGAAATTAGAAACATCCGCAGATGTGTTCACATTGTATTGTTTCCCTTACCTTCAGCATAGTGTTTTGTACATGTATCAACTGTTCATCTTTCATGACAAGCTGATTTTGAGCTTGTTTCAGCTCCAGTACAGTCTGTTCTAGCTCACTCTTTACCTTCTCTATCTGTTCATCTCTAACCTTGACCTCTGTCTCACCTTTAATTATCTCCTCCTTCTTCACACTCAACTCGCTGAAATGTCCAAATTATATTCTTAATATTTCATTTCATGTAAAGATATTAAATTCCATGTCAAACTTCTAGTTTCTGTCATAAATTAATGTTCAAATTCTATCCTAAATATTTAAAATAATGTCCAGATTATATCCTAAATATTTAAATAAATGTTAAGAATTAAAAGAAGATTTATCAGAAATTTTAAAATTAAGAACTGGTGGAAAAGAAGTAGACCTCTAAATCAGCCGAATTAAGATTAATGATTCAAACCTGCTCTTCTTTATTTTGGTATTTCCCTCATTTGTTACAGTATTTTAATCATTTACTTGCAGGATGTAATTGTTAGCAGAAATGTGTCCATAGGACATAGTTACCCAATACTCCACTGTCTATAACGAACAGCTGGACAGACGGACAAGGGCAAACCTAAATGCCCCACTCCCTTAAGTGGGGGCACAAGAAGTGCTCATAGTTTGAACCACTAATTAATTTTGTCTTTCCACTAGTAAGTAAACAGTACTGAATAAGACAGTATATGGAAATTGTGTTTTGGATCTTGGTCCTCAAAGTGTCACAAAAATTTGTACACCCACCTTGGATTAGTGAACTCAACCTTAAAAGCTTAGTTTATACAAGTTTATTTTAGTTTGATTGTGTTGGAAGCTATAAGCATATTGAAACACTCTCCAATCTGTTCCTGGAACCAACCAGTACTAAGCAATGAATGTAAAGTTTCTTGCTCAAGGAAACAATGGCTTGCCCCTTAGAGGGTTTGAACCCACGCGGTCAGCAATCCTTAGATTACTAGTTCGACGAGTTAACCACTCGCCGTCACACAACCTTTAAAGCTTCATTTTTTACATTTCATAACGACATGAGAAAAAGAAATGCTACTAAACTATTCCATATTAGAAGGATTTTCATTCTACATTGTAAAAATATAATACCAACCTTTCAAGCCGTTTGCTATCATGTTCTGCTTTGGAGAGATCATTTTTTAGCTGTTTGATGATGCTGTCTTTTTCCTTCATTTGTTTTTGTGTCGAGCCAAGTGATTGGCTAACACCTTCTTCCTTTGACTGATATTCCTTAATCTGATTGGTTAATTGTTCTTTCTCAGATTTCAGTCTATTAATTTGTCTTTCTTTTTCTTCTAGTTTTCGTTGGTTTTCATTAATTTGTTGAGTTAGATCTTTTTCCTTTTTGGAAAACTGTTCTTGTAGTTGTTTCATCTCGTTTCCGGACTTCTCTAGTTTTGACTTCAGCTTCGTTATATGAGACTCCTTCTCTTGCATGGTTCTTTGAAAATCTTCTAACTTTTGTGTGGCCTGATAAACAAGGTTTAACCTTCTATTATATATCTCTATGTTAATATTTAAAAAGCAACTTAAAAGACAGAACACAGTATAATATTACTTTCATCAAGTACACAGAACATTCACATTTAATTTCATATACATGTAGCTGATGCATGCTTCAGTAGTTGTCAATGTATTGTTATATTTCATTCTGCCTTTTCTTAAGAATGTTAAATAAGTACGATCATAGTAAATATCCCTCATTGAAGAGATAAACAAAATGTGTCACTAAAGATGACATGAAGGTTATGGCTTCTTATTATATTGTTGTAACATAAATATATTGTTTGTTAACCATAATATTGCCGCTAACCTTACATAGTTGTCTTGAACAGATGGACAGGTAAGGGGAAAACTAAATGCTTATCTTAAAAGTCAACATTCATTAGAAATTAAGTAAATAATACAGAATAATAATATATGTCCCAAAAAAATCTGGAAAAAGGGTGATCCTTCTTTAACATTAATTGCAACAAGATAACATGAAAATTGCAGAATCAGATTGATTGAGTCTGTACATAAGGGATAATGAAAAAATGCAACATCCCTCATGCCCCCTAGCACCGGCTTGAGCAGTTTTAAACACTGAAATGAATGATCTTGAAGGACCAGAAAAATATAACAACACTAAAGTGAAGTACGAGGCAACTTCAAAACATAAGAATAAGGTACATTTAATGATACAGATTGTAGTGTGTTTAAATATATACATGTGTACCTGTCCTTGTTTCTCAAGTAGAGCTTTAACCTCAGTATCTTTAGACGTTGTTTGAGACTCGTATATCTTTAACTGTTCCTCTGCCTTCTGTAATGACGTCTCCAGTCTGTTAACATATTATATAGTGAAACAGTTTTAGTATTAACATAAAACATAAATGAACATGCCTTCAGATTTAAATCTTAATCTTTCCTAAATCTAGGAAAAAAAACATTCTTTAGCTACAGAAAATAACATAAACAAAAGTAAAGTGAGGTAAGATTTATTAAAGTTCACCCATTCAGCTTTGAATTGTCAATAAAACCATCAAAATCTCTGTATATGGCTTAATAAAATCTGTCAAGAAACAATTTCAATGTACATTTTGTGTATTGATTATGACACATCTGTCATGTAATGTCTTGCTAAAATTGGAATATGAAAGAGATCATTGCACCTTTAACAGTTGATTTTCATCTTTCAAAGTTGATAATATAAAAAAATATAAGTCAAAAATCTTAATTTCCTGAGCAACCTTAGATTTTATGTCATGCAGAAACTGTAAATATCATATGTCAAATCTGCAACTTAAGTTAAAGTAAAGTCACTCACCTCGCATAATTGTCCAACCGTGGAGATTTCTCCAAATCTGCTTCCAACTTTCTAATCTGGTCCTGATACCTGATAAAAATGAGGGTATCTTACATACAAATACACAAAATACCTACTTAGTTTATACCTCAGTTATCTATATGTTATTACTTCAGATGATTCTAATGAGATAAAATAATGATCTAAAGCCAGAAAGCATGCACTTATTGTGTCTACAGGCCATGACTATATAAATCTATCAAATCTGTAGACTGAAGAAAAAAGTGTTATCTTGTAATTAATTGGACAAGGTGTGGTCTATGCACCGATAGAAGGACCAACTGTATTTTGCAAAGCAATCTGCTCTCACTTCTTAGAAGGGGAGGCAGAATTTCTTGAATAAGTACATATTTACCTTTTAATATCATCTTCTTTAGGTGCTTTAGCAAGGTCATCCTTTAACTTTGTTATCTCTTCTTCTGACCTACAAGTATCCATTAATCATTCTTTATAATTATTCATACATAATTTGTCACCTTAGTGCAATAACTGGTTAACTTGTATAAAATTATGAAGGACTTAACTCATTACTGCACTAAGATGACAATTTGTTTTGTTCAAAATATAGGATGGTAATATCGTCATACTAAACAAAAAAAAATACAACTGTAGTTCTAATTAAAGTTGCCTCTGCAACCCTCAACAGGTGGCCCTTAAAAGATTGGCATAAAAAGGAGGACTATCGTGATATTACTGAACCCACAATACAACTGGAAACAATTTTAATTTGTAAAAATTTACATGTACATCTTCAATATTGAATTTGCTTTAATTTGTCTGTATATAATATATATGTATATAAATTGTAGACAATTCATGTATGAATACTGCTTTCTGGGAAGGCCAATGTATAAGAATCTTAAGATGAAAAATTTAAATGAAAAATTTAGTTTATCAAACAATTTCCATACTATTCAATTAATTATAAGCATGAGTATTGTAATTCAAATTTCTCAAGAAAGCATTTTTTAGTCGTGCAATCAAACCGTCCTTTACAGAGGTAAACAGGCAGTAGACGAAGTATCAAATATTGCTGTCTGTGCAAGTAAAAATGCCCTTGTTAAAAATGTAATTTTCAATATAATTTCAAGCAGTATTTGAAGTTGGTATATTTAACAACATAATTTGCAAATTTGGATACAAAACCTCTTGCTCTTACTTATTTATTCGATTGATGAATCCTGCGATTTCTTTTATCTAACTCTGTAGCCATTCAGTAATGTAAAAAGCCTACATTGGCATCAAATTCAATTAACAAAATTGTGTTTGAAATTCTTGTATGCATTCTTAAGTGATGAAAAAAAATTTTGCAAACCTAATTGATCTTTTTTTCACTTACATCTACATGAGAGATCAATCATATTGATTAGAACTATTGATTTGTGCATCGGTTGAAATTTTGCTGGTTTCTGGTAATACATATGAGGGTTAGACATTCGTATGTGCCAAATATTTATCAAGAAAATAAATACTCCACATATGTATGTTGAACCCTAATAAGTACTACTGTGAACAGGAAAATATGCACTGTGCTTTGGAAAAGTGCTGTAGGTAACTGTTCGCCATTCAAAACATTTATAAATATAACTTTTACTTTCTGATATAACATTCAATATTCAGATAAGTGTGAAGTCACATACAGAGATATTTGTTTTTTAAGTTGATCACATTTCTGTTGTACAGCCTCCTTCTCTCTCTCCTGTTCCAGTGCCACCTTGTCCATTAACGTCTGTACCGATATCAACTCTTTCTTTAACACAACAACATCTTCAGTGCCTGGTCTGTACAGGGAAAGGACAACAAGGGAAAGAACATAAAAAAGGATTGGGTAGAAATAAGGTACATGTATGTGGATTGTCAAGATACCTAAATGA